GGGGGGATGTCGATAATTAACACTTCTCACCAGGCATGAACAAGCCAGGGGCCAACTATAAGATGAAAGTCTTTCCCCACACCCGAAATCAAAAACAGCATGGATACGTTGTTTACAAGTTACGCGAAGAAAATCATTTACACGTTCGCCATTTTCGTTGAACTCCCTCACTTTTTCACACATTCCCTCACTAAGTGCGTCTGGCTGTAACCCTACTAGTTTCCTTAAACTTGTTGTACTGACAGCGCTAAATACACTTAAGTATACTTCTATTTTTCTACATTTATGCCACTGATACACCTCCTGCCTTATGAAATGAATATTTTTACTCAGTTCGCGAACTCAATTGTTCGTGGCCTCAGAAACGTGCTTACGAATGTTAAAAATATTTATTTTATAAGTCATGAAGTGTAACAAGGACATAATGTCACCGACCACTAAAACTAGCGACACTATAACTGCACGTACTTTCTCGCGATATTGTTATTGGTTATGTAATATTATAATATGACAATTTCTATTTGAGGCTTCAATTTACATTTGAAAAAAATGAACAAACGAAGCGTGAAAAATACATATATTTTTTGAATTCAAATATTTAAACAAAAATGCCTCTCTGCCAATGAATTCAGTGTATTCACGTTCTACATAAATGTTGTACCGATGCACAATGCATTTTTTTTGCCGTAAATAAAATTATTAGTTTATGTTACCGCAAACTGCCTGCGCCGGCATGACTGCCTTCTGTTATCAGTGCGGCGTTACAACAACCATGACCGCTAAATCGCATTCTCCAAATTAGCATTCTTGATATCACTAAAAAGTAAATCAAAATTAATAGAAAAATATAGTAAGTGTAATATTTTTATATTCATCAAAATTACTAGGTTTTTACACGCATCAATCTTCATTCCCAAATATTATGACGCAAAGCGAAATCATTTAATTGTTTTCACAATTGTTTCCACAATCAATTGAAGGACGCAATTTAAAATGGGTTTTAAATAACTTCTAAAATATTAATTTGGAATCATAACTAAAGCTCGAATGATTGAAATGGACAAAGAAATATGAATAATACACCAATTCTACTTTACGAAACGTTCAACTGCCTGGATTCTATAATGTTCACGCAGCGTAGTAAATTCGGAACGGGTGACTATGTTTATCGCAGAATTACACAAAAACTACACATTTTCAAAAAATACATCATGACCTTATTTAAAATCTGTTTCTGGTGAACTCATTTCATTAAGAAAAAAATTTATCTTTACAACTTTAGTTATAGGAAAATGCCGAAATTTTGTTAATTTTTCGACAAATCAGATACTTTAACGAACTTGGGACCTTCAGCATTCTCTTAATAGTTTTTTACACTAAGGTCTAAATTTAATACGAAAATGAGCTGTTTTAAGACAAATGGTTTAAAGAAAATAAAAAATTGCCTCTTTTGAAAAATTTAATAAGACATTATTTTTAAATACGTTTTTCAAAACTACATTTCATTAAGAAAAAATGTTTATCTTCATAATTGTAGCTGTAGGAAGACATTGAAAAATAAATTCGGTTTTTTGCAATTTTCAAAAATAAGAATTTTCAACGAATATGAAACCTGCACCATTCTCTTACAAATCTTATAGGCTATCCGAGGCCAAAATTTGATCAAAATTGTATGTGCCGATTTTGAAAAAAATTCTTTAAAAAAAATAATAATTGCCTATATTTTCACGAACCTTATGCGAAAAGTACCACAATTTTCGAAAAAAATTTTACATGGCCTTATTTCAAAGTCTATCTTTAAGAAGCACATTTCATATTGGAAAATCTATCTTCATAATTGTAGTTGTAGGAAGTCGCCGAAAAAAAATTGAAATTTGGAATTTTCGAAAAATAAGTGTTTTAACGAAAATGTGACCTACAACATTCTCTTATACGTCCTCCACATTATCCAACAACAATTTTTTTTAAAAAATCAATGGAGCCATTTCTTTAAAAATTTGGAAAACGTCCCAGGTACAAAATATCGATTTCAAATTCAAAGATTCGCGACATCAGCCCGATCAATGGGTAAATAAGGATTTTGGAGAAAATCGGCAGAACGATTTAGCCGCTAGCGTTGTTCACAGGACGGACGGACGGACGGACGGACGGACGAACTGTCAGAACGTTTTTCCGTTTTTCGATATTTCGGCATCAAGGACCCACAAAAAATGGATACTGATTACACCTCATGTTAGAGGATGTTTTTACGTCGGCCAATTGCCAAAAATTCGCCTTTTTTTCTCTTTCGCAGCATTTCTTAATTTCTTTTTTTAAGAATTACCTCCTTAAGGATGAGACAGTAGAAAACGTCATTCATAGCAAATAAAATAAAATAAGGTAGAAATACTGTTTATCAGTTGAACCATTCAATCTTTCATTCGTTTTCAATCACCCTCTTTGAGGAAAGGTTTTTGCACTTACTGATTAGAAGCACAGGTAATGCATTTTCGTCCTTACCTGTAACAAAGAAAAGAGGAAATTCTATTGTTAAAAAATATGTTAGATTGTACGATTGCATGCCCATGCATTGCGAAATACACAATAAAACTAAAATAATATTTCATTCTGCGTTCCCCGGTTTGAAACAATTACTGCGCAGTCCCCGCAACAACCTCTTATTCCCCGCAATTCGGGGCAATTCTTCGGAATTGACAGGACTGCTGCTGGTTCATTTTGCTCTCGTATCCTATTCCTACCAGTCATTGTTACGTTGTAGAGTGTCGGTTGCTAATATTGTATATATGCTCGTTATTGTCGTAATTTATTTTATCCATCATGCCAAATTGTAAGCTGTGAAAAATAAATGAAAACAGAACATTTAATGCAAAATGGGAGATGGATTTTTTTCTTTTCTTCTGTAAAAGACAAAATGATGTTTGTTGTGCAATGAAGTTTTAAGTACTTTGTAAAAAAGGCAAATGCGAAAAACAACAACTATTGACTAATGAACATAATGGGAATCTCGGCAAGCTGCACTTGAAAAATCAAAAAAGGTAAAAGTAACAACAACAAGCGACTTTTGGTGATTATCTAAAGAAAAATACGACTGCAGTTTATGTTACTCACAAAATAGCACATATAGGTTCATGTAAACAAGAGGCAAACCATTTAGTGATGTCGAAATAATGAAATAATGTTGTTGAAGCAGTGGGCACGTCAGATCGGCACAAAGTCGCAAACATAGAGAATTGGATCTTGCAGAGAAGAACTATCACATCGGCAGTACGAATTATCTCACAATTTATCGGAGCAACTTCGCACAATTTTAAACATAAAGATGTTTATTTTTCAGTCGCTTTGAATAAAAGCTCTGGTAGAGCTCATTCAACACACGTTTTATATTTTATTCCCACTTTTATTCTCAAATAGTTTCAGAGTTATGAAGAACTTGCGCTGCGTGCACTCACTAGAACTCGTGGAGTTGACATGTTCGATATCTTAAGAGAGGTATGCCATCAATTACAATTAAATATAAATATTTTTCTTCATAAAAGTTTTCAAATCAATTTCAAGACAATGTATTTTTAATTTTGATTTTATTTCACTCGTACAACGTTTCGGATATCGAATGTGTCTCCATCGTCAAGAACAGATATAAATTGGCAGATACAATTGGCACCTAAAATTCAAATAGTATTTTATACAATTTTAAAATAAATGAATAAAAAACATGTATAAGCGGAATAACATAGGAATTGCAAGCTTATCTTTTATTTTTATAATTTTAAATTATTGTAAAATGGACTGTTGAATGAACATATAAATGTAATTAATACATAATTAGTATTGGAATTTTAAGTTCATAATTCAATTGACATGAGCAATGGTATCCATTGCTAAGATGACACTATAATTCACGTGATTGTTAATCACATTTTACACTACGCTGAGCAAAATTTCTAACCTTTCAAAGACTCTCGCACGTACGGATTTGTTCTACGTCTTGGATTGGACGTGGTTGTTGAGTTGTTGTAACGTTCTCCCTCAAATTTGGGCATGGGATGCTACGACACTATCTTGGAGAAATTTGATTTACTTGCCAGATATTCAAGTAATAATTCCGGCCGATATTCCACAATCGCAGGGGCAGAATTCTTGTATGCAGTGAGAACGCACTTAATCCTTTACTGTGCGGCGGGTTGCATTGAGTTGAGAGGCGCTTGAGTCATCCTAAAGGAATAAAGCATCAACGCACCCACACGTCCGATATAATTCAAACCGCCCTTTAAACATTCCCATTACTAATAATAAAGTGTAAAAATTTCAGAGGAATAGGTCACACATACGCAGAAATAGGAGACACATATCCAGATTCCCTTTTATTCATAGAAATTTATAAATAAATTCAAGCGTTTCGAACATTTTTTAAATATTGCTGTCTCGCTCGGATGATTCTGCAAAACACTTTCCGGGACTAAAAAATGTTGAATGAGAGAAACGAGAAAATAAAACATGATAAATATGAAGGTGTATTAAATAGGATTTAATTGAAGTATATGCTGCAAGATTTTCATATTTTGATGAGCACATTGCTAATATGAAGCCGATATTTGAGCACATTTAATTAATATATCGAGGTTCCTACGGAACTACACATGGGAGAGATGTGAGTAAAGGGATGTCCTCAAATCAGTTTTGGACGGTAAAAATGATTACACACACACCTGGAAAAATTATGTTGAATATCCATTTCTACGAGCTCTCTCTAGCACGCTATTTACTTTCCTGCTTCCGAAGTACTTTCTGCTACGAGGCAACACGTTTTCTCTCAAAACAAATTAAAGCCAGTTCCAAAATACAAATTACAAAACTCATTAAGAGGATCAATTAAGGCTGCGCGTTTCGAAACTTCATACACATATTCAATTAATTTCACGAAAGAAACAAATGCATATAACTTACTATATTACACTTTAGATATTATTCATCAATTTTATGTTGCACTTCTTTTTCATGTAATAAACTTATTTTAAAATGCTTCAACTGCATTATTTGTATTATTATTATTATTATTATTATTATTATTATTATTATTATTATTATTATTACTTCAAAATTTATTAAAATATGTAGTTGTTCCATAAAACTTATGCGGCCTCCTTTGTTGCTGTCTAATTTAAAAGAGGTTTTAATGGTAAAAATGTCAAGAACACCTGGTGCTATCAGATTAAACTTGTTTCATAAAACAGTTAAGTTGCCGTTTTTTTGTGTAAGGCACGAAGAAATTACAATCAGATTATCCACCAGTGTAACCGATCCAAATCTGAATGACTACATATGGATATACTCTGTGTACACTGTTTCATATTGTTGTGTGTGTGCGTGCGTAATACATGTTACTCTGTGAACTAAAATTGATATAATTTCATTTTGGTTCATCTAGTTAGCACACTAGTGTTTACAACGAATTCCGAGGTAACACAAAGAAATGATTGTTTCTTCTTGAGAAACTATGTTCTCGTAAGTGATTTAGACGCCAGTGCAACAACAATGTTGCACGAAAGTCACACCTAAACAACTTCTGAAATTCAATGTATCAGAACAAGAAAAGAATAAAAAAGAATTTAAGAAAACAGGAATCGAACTCAATATTGAATCCTTTTCCAGCATTCGGGGACTTGGATTCCCTGTCTGGATTCCTTTCTTGGCTGACCGGCATCCGAACGAATGGCTCCGGTGAGGGCTGGGTTGGCGCCGCTATTGCGTCTCGTTGCTCCGATTTCGGAGGCCCCTGCGTCATTATCCCATCTCCGCGCCGGCGTGAGCGGGCGTTCACCCGCGTGGATTTCACCGCCCGAATGAACCACACGCCGCGCCGCGCTGCGCCGCGCCCAACTTTCCTTCAACGCCACGCTGCAGCATGGGTGGCCAACCTTCCGGCTTCCTGGAGTCGTCTGCACACACGGGAAGCAGCCATAACAGGCACCTCAAGGCCACCCTACTTACTACACTTTCGATAACCCCTTCGATTACTGAACCCAGGAAACTTCATGAGTGCATTTGCAGAGCCTCCAAGGGCCTGCACAATCAGCTGTCGAAAAAACGCACGTAAAAATTGTTTGTTTTTTTAAAAAATTCTTAATAACTTCGTTTCTTAATAATTTTAATAAAAGTCATTAATGTTAAACAGAATATAATTTATTCTAAGAACTATCAAAAGGCCTTCAAAGTCCTGCTTTGCATTTACTTGATACAATAAAATTCCAGGACCTAACTTAGAGACTTTTTCCTTCGCCAGTGACTAAAATGAAAGTAGCAAGATAAAAGAAAGATTGCACGGAAGGCAAGCTCTCGGAAGTGCAAATGAGCAGAATAAAAAGCGAAATAAAGAAAATATACCTCTGAGGTCCTAAGCATTCTAGGGTTAAACACCAAGGTTTTGAAGTATACCTAACGCATGTTAGGCGTATATAATTATGTTATTGAACAGGAATAAATAATTTGCTCAATGAGTTACGGCCGTTTCGAATCGAAAGTACTTTATACGTTCTAACCGGTTTTGAATTTTAAAATGACTCATGGGTCGGAAATTGTTTTCCTCGGATTTCAACCTTTTCCGACAAGGTTTTCAATTTATTATGTTTAATATTTCTCAATGTTTATATTATACAGATGTGAAGATAAACATACTTGTACAATTCTATTGCATAATAAATAAAATATTTCTGGGAGAAAATTGCGGTTGTAAAAATATTTCATTAACCCCAATGACTAAAAATAAGAAAGATATTTCATATTTTTGAGACTGAAATAAATTACTTAGAAGTAGACAATTCATATATTCTCCACACTTAGAGAAAAAGTCATTTTCTGATTTCATTTATATTTATTTCCGACTTTGAATTTTCGCTGAAAACTACAAAACTGAAGAAATAAGTTGCGAAAGTGCAACAGTCCCCTAATCAATCTTCTATTGCAATGAATTCCTACGACACATTTCACCTTTCTCGGTGCCATGCTGTCTGATACATGACGCAATGTCAAGACCTCCCCACAGCCATTGGCCCCATGTGCCCGGTTCTCGCCCGGAGGGAAAACTACCCAGTTATTTAATAACATCCGCACACGCACCAATTCCCTTCTACCACTAAAATATTTGCATCTCACACAGCGTCGCTTTAAGTTATTGGTAGTGGTTTCGCGTTCCTGGGTGACCTAGACTGGTTCGGTGGACTGGACATTCCTGCAGCACATGGTGCAGCGCATGGCCGAAGCAACATATGTCGTACGTGTTGCATGGCGCACGACTTCTTTTCGCTTCCGCTCGCACTCGCGTTGAGCTCATCCGGACGCTCCAGGTTATATTTCGAAATCGAAGAGTAGATTTTTGGAGAACACATAGTGATGATAGAATTTAGCACTATAATTTTTTTTTAATTTCGCATATTGAAAACAAGGCTATAGCATTAAAAATATTAATTTTGCACAATTTATTGAGAAAAATACTACGAAGAGAGAACTCTTTGAGAGACAAAATATTTTGATGCTTTTTAGAATTTTCCATTATAATCAGGAAGTAAAGGAAATTAATTATTTCGCTATTTTTGAACTTCAAAAAATATATAAAGCAGTAATTTTAAATTCATACAATCCTGGGTTGTATAGAATTACAGGCTTCCGAATAACACTTCAAAGAAGAGGAAAGGGATCTCTTGCAATTTGTAAATACTTTTGGAAACAACATTATTTTAAAAGGTCGTGTATTTTGTTAAATGAAAGCAATTTATATAAATATATATTATCAATATGTAACACAATCAATGGAAAATTAACCGAGATCCTATTTCAATGTCGAATTCCTTTAATGTATTTCTTCAGTCAGTAACAATTAAACTATTTATTTTACTGAAAAATAGCTCAGTTCCTGCATTGTTGGTAGGTGTGTAATATACTCATTACAAGGGTATGGGTGAAACTTGGAAATTTACATTGCATTGTTATCAGGATTTGTAGGCAGTCAACAATTGCACTTTCTCTAATTTTATAAATTGATTATGAAACTATTCACAAACAGATTAAAAAAGTGTCTGAATCCAGTATGTTGAAATACAGAATATCTTTACTGAGATCTCATTTTTTTAGAGTTCTTGTTACTTAGTTATTTTGCCACGACTGAATTAAAAAGATAATTGCCCGCTTGAAGAAAACCTGTTTTCTGTTAGTTTCTTTCATATGAATACAAAGCATTTCTTAGCATTTCAGCATATAATATTCCAACTTTTGTCGTAACCCTTCCTTAAATTGTTTATTTGTGATGCTCATCAATCTGGCAAATCACCCTCCAGCACATCATCAAATGCAATTTAGTAATTATAACACAAACTCAAGACCATTTCGCATTTTGCACGTGATTTCGCTTTTATCGCAGAAAGAAAAGTCTCCAGAAATATATTGAACCGACCGTCAAACATACATACTAATTTTTTCAGCGTTTGATAACATTTCACGTTTTTAGCCATTGCTAAAATCTACCATTTCTAGGAATGCATAAAGAATGAAAATCACGCATTCCAAAAAAGTCCCACCATTTGATGATACAAGAGAGGAATAAGAGAAAAATTGCGATAAAATCGCGTTCGTTAAATATTTTTTTAATTGATATCCACTTTCAAAGCCGAGAAAGACAGAACAGGCAGGCAGGGCAGCGAAAGTCAGCGCCGTGCCGCGAGCGTTCGACGCACCTGCGCCCGCGTCAGCGCCAGCGCCAGCGCCAGCGCCGGCCCCGGCCCGGCCCCAGCGCGCGCGCGGCCTTGCCACGTTGCGTCACGCCGCACGGAGACCGGTCGGCGCGGCGGCATCTGGCACTGTGTGAGTGAGGGGATGTGTGCGTGTGTGTGTGTGTGTGTGTGTGTGTGTGTGAGTTAGGAGATGTGTGTGTGTGCATGCATGCGCGCGCGCGCGTGTGTGTGTGTGTATATGTGCGCGCGTGTATATGTAAGAGAGAGAGACAGTGAGTGTGGATATATGTGTGTGTGTATGTGTGTGTGCGCGCGCGCGCGAATGGTCTGTGAAAGCTGCGAGCGGCGTCCGCCAAGCAGCTCCTTGGAGGAGGTGGAGGCGGAGTCGCCCTTTGCCCCGCCGCGCGGTGGGGGCCCACACACCCACAGCTTCATTCGATCGCCATTTACGCCTCTGTAAGACTCATTTTCACATTCAAAAAGTATGTATGCGGGGACGTTGGCGTGCCAGCCAGCACTTAAACATTAGAATGAGAAAATAGGTATGATGTGGGACATAACAAACTATTGTTATTCTCTATATGAAGAAAGGTCAAATAAACAAACGTCGTCAATGGAATATTTCTCTCGGAATAGAGGCCAAACAAGTGTAAATCGGCCATTTGATGTTAGCTTCTACGAAAGGTATGAAGAATTAGCTTAAAGAGTCAGAACAACCATTCTAATTATACAAACGAAGGATAATTCGAAAGCAGTTTTGTTTGAGCGATAACTCTCACATCCTCGTTAGGAGAAGACTGACTGCACCCCAGTTCATTTTCCTTTATAACCGCCGTATTACCAGAACCAAAGGGATACTGGTGAGCAGAAGAATGTATTATTTTGGCGTTTCTAGTGGGTAAAGTGATTAGCGGGGATGAAATAACACGAACACTCTCCCTTCGGCCTCCGCCCCCTTTCAACCCGCTCACGTCCCCCACAAAGCGCGCACGGGGCAAAAGAACCGGCATGTTCCACAGCTGCAACATCTATGTAACGATCCATCCCACGTCAGCAACAGGCATCTCTGCAATTCCCTTCCGTACGCCAAAAGATTAATGTATCGCAGCATTCTTTCAAATGCACGGAGAGTTGCCCTTACACATGTTTCATGTTATAATAAATTAAATTTAAGAAATTATCCACAACACAATATTGAATAATCAGTTTTCGGTTATTTCCACCCGAGGTACTATTTTATGGCAATCAGTTTTTAAAAGGATCGTTTTTGAAACACGTCATCCATTTCCTATCTAAACATTACGATGCCATACAAATTGTATCCAAAAGTTCACAAACATTACATTAAACCAGAATTTTTATTTCATAGTTATAAATAAACCTTTTCCGCGTAATACATGTTGCCGTTCTCTCCACGATGCGAACAGGAATTCAAAAGCTTTCAAACTAAAACAAACTGAATTCGTCGTTAAACCGAGTACACAAAGCATAGATAAATAATCATTAGGGAAATACCAACATCAGAAACAAGTTCCAATCCGACCGAACGGATGCAAATCCCAAGCCCCAAATCCACACGTACAATCCCTTGATTAAACATTACTACAGGCGATGTGACGGCCAGCCTGGCGGCCGCTCGACGAAGCGCGGCGCTCTGCTGCGTAGGGCTCCAACACCTGGCTATGGATATGGAGGATTGACACAATAACGCCGTAAAATAGAAATCTACAGGAGTGATCCTGAAGTGCTTCATACTGTAAATTCTACATGAAAAACGAGTTATATGCCTTTTACAGATTGAAAACCGGACCAATCGTTCAGCGTCACTAGCAATGCAATTTTTCCTTTTGGCGCTGGCAGGTGGAGGCTCCCTCCTCCAAGAACGCCCCATGTGGGCTTCTGTTCCGGTACCTGGTCGGCACTCGTCAGGAAAAACAAGAGACGAATTGGAGCGGCTTCCTTCGTCAGTTTAGGTTTCATTTTAGTAGCTGATTATTTTCCTTTGTGTATAATTCTTAATGCTAAGTACTGCCATGTGGTTAAAATAGCTACAAGGGTTTCATCGTAATTTTAGCTCAAATCTCATAGCATAAATTGTAAGTTCTTTGTCGTCCCTAATTTGAAGTTTTATCTTAATATAATTATTGTCGAAATGTTACTTTTGATGACTCATTTTTCTATTCGATGTGCGAGTATCTCATAGTTGTAAAAATACTGGGCGAAACTACGAAAGCGCACTCCAACGCTCCACAATATCCGTCCCGAACTTGCTTCGGAGCATTTTCCCCCCTTTTTTTGTACGTTTGTTTTTAGGTCGCTCTTTAATAACTTGGCAATATAGCGACCAATGTGATTGTTTTACATGTAGCGTGTAGGAAGAACACGTATGGACAACACAGACATCCATGCCCGAGGCGGGTTCCGAACCCGCGACGCTTCGAGCCGAGGCAGCGATAGCCCTTCCGCCTCAGCAACCTCTGCTATCCCGGCCGGCCTGAGCAGGTTTGATTGACTCAATCTATTTTCCACTTCACTGGACGGGTAGTTGCCCATAGAGCGTACTCGGAAACAATGTAAATAATATTTTGTGAAGTCTGACACGTGAAGTTTGGAGAAAGATTTCATCTTTTTAACACCTTTTTTTCTGAAGAAAAGAAAATATTGTCATTTTCCCTTTCTAAACTGAGAACATTTCCTAAACATATTAATAATTCGATTTTGACATGCAATAGATTCATATTTCGATATATTTTCTTGCTTCATGTTTTAAATGATCACAAAATGTGAAGTAAACATGGTTTAATTGTGAAAGAAACGAGTTGTCTGTGGTTTCGATATTTTTCACTAATTCAGTGGAAGTCCGATGTGGTAGAAATGTTTCCACCAAAAATGATCCCAAGCCTGTTCTGAAAGTGACAACTACGGAGTCGAAAATAT